TGTTGTTGGGGAAATCTGTCTCACAGAGGAGCGGGGAGCCATATCTGCTGGGAGAACACAATAATTACTGCTAGCGGGTGTGGCCGCTGGCAATAATCGCATGCTAAAAATCCAACATGCTGGTTGTACCCAAGTCAATCGATGGATCGACTTGGGTACAATCAGCCTATCGTAGATGGATCAAATCTCATGTAATCTCTGGTGAATTGGCCGAGATTCAGTCTTTCTGTGGTCACCTATACATTCAGTCAGGTACATCCTCATACTGCATTGCTGCTTATTCTAAAGGCGTTGTACAATTAAATTGTATCAACGTGTGGTCAGGCTTGAAGATCCAGTAACCTGGTACCTCTGATAAAGGCTAGATTGTATGTGGTTACTGTTCACCTATAATATCTGCCCAGTGACCAGCATGCCCTTTAAAGCAGATGTACAACATATTAGTAGACTGACAATAAAGTTTAAAATGGGATAGGTCAGTCAACATATTGGTGGTAATCAGTTGATATCATGTGTGTCGTGCACAACCTGTCTTATTGCTTAAGATTCTGAGTGCAACTGAAATAGTAACCTATCTAGCCAACCATGCCCTGTCATGTTTTCTAATGGCTTTGCACATGCTGGATCAGCAAAGCATATCATCAACCTGAAAGGCCATATGGTCATTACCTGCAAGCTGTGTTTCGATGTGTCTGGCTGAGCTTGTTCTGTATGAAGTGGCCTGTTGCATATTCAGGAGACTTATTCATCATCTGCCTGTGTTTGTGCGATATTTGTCTGCACCCTCCTGTCCTCTTTCAATAAAATGCTGCTGAAGGTGCAGTAATTTGCTCCTGCGTTGTTTTGTTTTTCTGCTGCTCCATTTCATTACAAGCAATTGTTTGGAAGAGATATTAAATACTGGCTTTCAATGCAATCCATTCCTTCAGAAATGACAAACGCTTTCAGTAATTTGATGGAGGTAAATCACACATCCTTGGTTCTAGCCTGAACTTCATAAGATGTCAAGAACAAGCCAGCTTCATCTGCTCTGAAGTATGCTGCCTGCTTTCTGTATGTAGTAAAATAATATACAAATTAATATTTTCGTATTTTATATTTCCCTTTATCCTATCAAGTCAGAGCTAGTAAGGAATGTAGTAGTGAAAATTAGATATGATGTACACAATTTACCTGTCAGTAACCACATATTTCAAATCCACATGGATCACATTAAGATAAAAAAAAAAAACAGCATCAATACTTTCTAGTGATAGACATGTGAAATTATTGCAGTTCAGAAACATTGGTCTTAAATCACTATTGTGACAATAGAAACTTGATCTCTCAGCTGGTATAATTACACTTTAAATGTCTTATAATATAGTACTCTTGCAATGTGTGCAACAAATTATTAAAGGAAAAATGTACTGAAATATATATAGGGGCTTCTAACTGATCTCTTTTTAGGACTACTAGTTCTCTGACTGTCTCTAGCTTCAGTATTTCACAAACTTAGAATGAGCATCCAGATTGGAAAGTTAGAAGTTACAACTCCTGATCTGCATACTGTATGTGTTTCAGGTCAATGCATCAGAAATCGATAAATTATTATTATTATATAGTATTTATAAAGCGCCAATAGTTCGCTCAGCGCTGTACATTACAAAGGGGGACAGAACATGTGATAGAACAATAACAATACAATGCAAAACATGAGGGGATTGAGGGCCCTGTTCTTTCGAGCCTACAGTCTAGGACAGTGTTTTTCAACCTTTTTTGTGCAAAGGCACACTTTTTTCATGAAAAAAATCACGAGGCACACCACCATTAGAAAATGTTAAAAAAATATATTGAAAAACTTTTTGACTTGAGGGCCGCAATGGGTTCATATATTGGACCCGGGGGCCGGACCAAGAGTAGATGAATGATGTGTATGTGTCATCCATAGTAAGTATAGTAATATTCCCCCATAGTAAGCATAGTAATTAATCCCCCATATAGTAATTCATCCCCCATAGTAATTCATCCCCCATATAGTAATTCATCCCCCATAGTAATTAATCCCCCATATAGTAATTCATCCCCCATAGTAATTCATCCCCCATAGTAATTAGTCCCCCATATAGTAATTCATCCCCCATAGTAATTCATCCCCCCATATAGTAATTCATCCCCCATAGTAATTCAACCCCCATAGTAATTAATCCCCCATATAGTAATTCATCCTCCATAGTAATTCATCCCCCATAGTAATGAATCCCCCATATAGTAATTCATCCCCCATAGTAATTAATCCCCCATATAGTAATTCATCCCCCATAGTAATTCATCCCCCATATAGTAATTCATCCCCCATAGTAATTCATCCCCGGATAGTAATTCAATCCCCCTATAGTAATTCATCCCCCATAGTAATTCATCCCCCATATAGTAATTCACCCCCCATAGTAATTCATCCCCCATAGTAATTCACCCCCCATATAGTAATTCATCCCCCCTATAGTAATTCATCCCCCATATAGTAATTCATCCCCCATATAGTAATTCATCCCCCATAGTAATTCATCCCCCCTATAGTAATTCATCCCCCATAGTAATTCATCCCCCATATAGTAATTCATCCCCCATAGTAATTCATCCCCCCTATAGTAATTCATCCCCCATAGTAATTCATCCCCCATAGTAATTCATCCCCCATATAGTAATTCATCCCCCATAGTAATTCATCCCCCATAGTAATTCATCCCCCATATTAATTCATCCCCCATATTAAGTCCCCAAGCCCCCCCTGTGTCAATTCACTTACCTTTGCTCCGCGCGTTCCTCTCGCCGTTCCGGTGTAGCATGAAAATCTGTCTCCTATGAGGATCTGTCCCCCTCGACGTATCTGCGCATGTGCCAGTTTCAGGCATTAGCAGCCGATCGGCGATCTCCGGCACATGCGCAGATACGTCGAGGGGGACAGATCATCCTGACAGTATCCCGCTCCGCGGGCCGGATTAAAAGGTCCGCCGGGCCGTATACGGCCCGCGGGCCATAGTTTGCCCATTGCTGTTCTAATGATTGGTCTATTTGTGAGCCGAGGCCACATGTTACGGATGAAATTGCAATTTTTCCCACGGCACACCAGACAATATCTCACGGCACACTAGTGTGCCGCGGCACAGTGGTTGAAAAACGCTGGTCTAGGATAGCATGTAATTAGTAATTGAGGTCTGAACACCCTTATTAGCTACATCATTTAGCAACCAGCAATAGATTATTTTTAGGGTGCTTAAACCCATCCACAATGTGTCAATCTGTTGGTAACAGTTTTTAAAAATATAAAGTAAGCACACCACATAACACAACTGCTTTAGCAATAAAATTGTATTAGTCATATACTGTACATACAATTAAACAATAGGCACAAATATCCAAGTATGTCATATCACATCAAGCATAATATAGCATAAGTATTCGCTCCACTGTTAAATCCAACCAACAAAAATACACGCATGGACAGTATATAAGTACAGTGAGCACCACTAAAGTCATTTAGCAGCTGATGTTCAGAAATAAACTATACTGCCAAAAGCATTGGGGCACCTGACTTTACTCACCCATGAACTTTAACCTCCTTGGCGGTATGATTCTTTCCGATTTTTTTGTGCTGAAAGCGGTACCATTTTTTTGCATGGAAATATGTAGTTTTTTATTGTAGGCTGTAATTTTTTAGTAATAACTCACTGAAATCTGTACGAACAAGAATCTAGTAAACATCCCGGGTAGGATAAAATTTGAAACACGAAATCATAAATTATAATTTAATAAATAATCATAAAAAATAATAATATAATAATACATTTAATTCAATAATATAATCAAAGCAAAAACACTGAAATTTGAAATACAGAGGCAAATTCACACATCGCTGAGCAAAGTCGCAAAATCGTTTTCAGTGTCTGATGACGAATTTCCCCAAGAATCATTATCACTCAATTCTGCAAGTGGTTCTGATTTACTATCGCTGTTCTAAAACCGCTTTTGACGTAAAGGGACGCTTTTTGGACGCCATGGACTTTTCTAAGTTTCCAGGCAGAAAGAACATTCAAAATGCAGGCAGGGCACAGGACAAAGCAGTAGGGACAAAATATATGTGAAATGCATTGAAACAGCAATGACAGCAAAAATGACATTTTTTAAAAATTTCAAATTTCCCGCAGGTTCCGGCGCCCGTACGTCCCGACGTCACAGGGACTGGAACACAGAAAGCCGGATGCAGGGGACACATCACGGGAGCGAAGGACAAAGTAAGTGCTTCAGGGACCCCCAGAGCAACGCCGCATGGTAAGCCCGAGTGTAGCTCGGGGTTACCGCTCTTGGTATAGAAATTTTACCCCGAGCTACACTCGGGATTTTACCGCTAAGGAGGTTAATGGCATCCCAGTCTTAGTCCGTAGGGTTCAATATTGAGTTGGCCCACCCTTTGCAGCTATAACAGCTTCAACTCTTCTGGGAAGGCTGTCCACAAGGTTTAGGAGTGTGTCTATGGGAAAGTTTGACCATTCTTCCAGAAGCACATTTGTGAGGTCAGGCTCTGATGTCAGACAAGAAGGCCTGGCTAGCAGTCTCCGCTCTAATTCATCCCAAAGGTGTTCTATCAGGTTGAGGTCAGGACTCCTCCTCCTCAAACTCGCTCATCTATGTCTTTATGGACCTTGCTTTGTGCACTGGTGCGCAGTTATGTTGGAATAGGAAGGGGCCATCCCCAAACTGTTCCCACAAAGTTAGGAACATGAAATTGACCAAAATGTCTTGGTATGCTGACGCCTTAAAAGTTCCCTTCACTAGAACTAGGGGCCAAGCCCAACCCCTGAAAAACAACCCTACACCATAATCCTCCCTCCACCAAACTTTACAATTGGTATGATGCAGTCAGACAAGTACCATTCTCAACCACCAAATTCAGACATGTCCATCAGATTGCCAGAGAGAGAAGTATGATTTGTCACTCCTGAGAACATGTCTCCACTGCTCCAGAGTCCAGTGACAGCATGCTTTAAATGCCACTGCATCCGACACTTTGCATTGCAATTAGTGATGTAGGGCCTGGATGCAGCTGCTCAGCCATGTACACCCATTTATGAAGCTCTCTACACACCGTTATTTTTCTAATCTGAAGGCCACATGAAGTCTGGAGGTCTTTAGCTATTGACTCTGCAGACAGTTGGTGACTTGCGCACTGTGCATGCGCTAACCCCACTCTGTCATTTTCCATGGCCTAGCACTTCATGGCTGAGTTTCTGTTGTTCCCAGTTGCTTCCACCTTGTTATAATATCACTAACAGCTGACCAAGGAATATTAGTAGCAAGGAAATTTCACGGATGGACTTACTGCACAGGTGGCAACCTATCACGGGTACCACGCTTGAATTCACTGAGCTCCTAAGAGTGGCCAATTATTTCACAAATGTTTGTAGAAGCAGCCTGCATGCCTGGGCGCTTGATTTTATACACCTGTGTCCATGGAGATGATTGGAACACCTGAATCCAAGACTTTGGAGGGGTGTCCCATTACTTTTGTCAATATAGTGTACATACAGGAATTCAGTACCCAGAATAGACTTATAAAAAGGAATGTTGAGCCAGACCTGGGTGAAAAGAGGGAGGGGGGGAACCCCAAATTTCCAGGGATGTAGGAACCCCCTTTCTGCATCCCTCTCTTCTCAAAATCATCAGAAGGCAGAGGAGGGGATCTAATGTCACACACTGCACAGCATTGAGCCGGGAGCTGAGTGTAATCTGAAACATGAGTGGAGGGAAAAGATACACCCCCTACACAGTTTCATAGGAAACATAGACAACTGAGTCCCCCTGGGGTTGCTTGGTGTTGACATAGTCCATCAGAAGTTACTCATGCAGATAGCAGAATAATGACAGCACTAGGTGCTTTGGGTTGTGGCAAGTACACACTGTAGAACGATATGCTTTGTTTCTTTTATTTACAACCACTCTGATGTTCATATTTCTCTACCATACCTTTTCTATTTGAAAGCAGTTGATTAGATAAATGAGAGTGATTCACCCCCTGCATATGATATGCTAGAAGAATATGACTTATTTCAGTAACTGAGCAGTAATGTAAGGACTTTATACAGTTCCCAACCAAGCATCACATAACATTTAACTGCAGTACTCCAGTTAAGCTCCCAGGATGGAATAGAAGCACAGATCTGGTGGGCTATAGGTCTGGAAACACCATCTGTCACTGATTGCTAGGGTCAGCCACAAGCCCAGAAAATGATCCCTTTATTTCATGGCCTTCCTAATGCGTCACGGAGTGCTTTGTAAGTGTGTCCTGTAGCACATCACTGTAACAGGATATATGCTGATGACTTCTCTCTGATGTCATCAACGTTACTTTAAAGATCCAAGTGCCTTGCTAATAGCTCAGCGATGCTGGTCCAGCCCTGTCCTGATTTCCCTTGCAGCAGCACATCACTGTGATAGTGATTTATTGCTTGATAGTAACTTCAAGCAGTAGACCACTAATATAAGTAATATGTTGAATGAAAAATTCAATAAAGTTCAGCTAAACAAAGGAGATGTTTAAAAATGTAAACCACTTGCAGAAAAATAAAGTAATAAGGCTTGGTTCACACTGGATGCGATTTAAAATTGCGCATTTTGTTTGCAGTTTCACTGCATTTTCTGAAGATTTCCCAACAATTTCTTGCATTTTCCATTGTGTTTTGCAGTGCAATTCCTATTGTAGTTTATATGTGAAATCGCAACCAACTGCAGAAAAAGTAATACAATAACTACTTTTGAAATTGCGCTGCAGCAAATCGCGTATGTTAAGACACTCACATTCACATTCATCAGATCCTATTTTAGGTATGATTTCAATTCCCAAATCGCAGCTGAAATCGCAGCACTGTGAATCAGCCCTAACTCAGCCATTAACACCTTCCAGGTCTTTGTGAATCCCACTGTAAGGTAACATACAGGCGACTGTGGATTACCAAGTACTTGTTGTGTGAAACATGCATTCTAGAATGTGAAATGCTATTAAGCAATTTGCCTTCATAAATTAGTATAACAGCATTGTTGTTCCAAGTCTTTTTCTGTACAAACATAGGTTAATAAAGTAAAGTAAACCTTTCAAAAGTGAACTGTCATTTCTGACCCCTTTTAAAAAATGACCATTGCTTAGCTGTTATTTTGGCCCATAGCTTCAATATTTTTTGAGTTACTGACCCAAAGCAAATATGCAAGAAGATTAGAGAAAAGTCAAAAATCTGTAGACTCTTTTTATGTTACTTATTAAAAGATGTAAAAGGGTGAGCATGAAAGCCAGGCAACTACCATTTTCAGAAAGGTCAGTCTCCATTGTTATCTCTTTTTAATTTACAGGCTTTTAATCTCACACTAATAATTTATTCAGTAGTACCCCCCCACATTGATCATATGATGAAGACTAAAGGTGCACCTACAAATGTTAACCCCATCACTGCCACACTATAAACTTCTCCTTTCCAGAAGCATATACTGTACCTTCTCTTTGCTCCTCTATGGCTTAGTACAGCTACTGGGAGTGAAAGAATGTCCGTATCAGATACGAGTTGTTGCAGATAGATAACACGGGGCTATGAAACATTGAGTGATTCAAATGATAATCAATACCCAGTAGTACTGGGTATTTCCTTTGCCTCCTGACATTCAAAGAGCTGCAGGAAAGCAAAGCAAAAATAAGTATACTGGGGAGTGTCGGCAATTAAAGCTTTAAAATGCATTTCTTCAAAAAGTAAAAAAAATCTAAAAATGTAAATACTCTAAACATAAGGTATGGTCATAAGTAGAGCAATATTTGAAAGAGATTGTCTTGATGTTAGTCATTGCTTATGATTACTGAGCATTTCTAACCAGATTTGCTCAGTAATGACCACCTCTAGTAGACTGAGGTGCTTACCATTGCTACTTGAGATTTGGCTCAATCTTTTCTATGGGAGCAGAGAAAATTGTCAAAGTACTCCAAGAACATATACCTCTCTGCCTACTGTATCTGCCAATCTGTAACCTGTCTAAAGGCTACAAATTGTGGGTCTGTAGCAAACACAGCTGCCAGATATGAACTGATTAATACCACTGGATTCAAAGTGTAAAGGTGACCAAAGACAAGAGAGTTTTTTTGGCCAGTGTCTCTTCTAAACAGTAGCATTTTTTGTTAAATGAAAGTTTTGTATATATTTTGACTTATGTTATCTATTATGACCAAGACTGAAAAATAACACTGTAGAATATACTGTATATATTGTATATTTATAGTCAGGTAAATATGAACTAGCCCTCATATTTTGCATTCTTCTTTTGAGCCAGCAGTTAGAACTTTAGGTTCCTTTTCACGTATTTACAGGCTACAATTAGCTGTACTATTAAAAATAAATCCAGTTGTTTAGAATTTCAATAGCGCAATCTGAAATTTACAAATGGAAGTGAACAAATCATCCCAGTGATTAATCTTCATCAGAGTGTTGCGTCCAAAGTTTCAATCAGTCAAGCAGAGCTGCAAGGCAGGTTGCCACTGCTGTACTATCTCCCTAGCCAATGCATTGTGCTCTGCAAATCCTTTCTCATGTATTTATTTGTAAAACAAAGAAAAGCTACTGTATAAAACAATATTTTAAAATGGTATATATATTTTTAGAAAAGAAACTGTTCAGAAACCATTACAAGTTTAATTAATCAGCAATGGAGGAGAGATGGAAAGTTGGGCCCAGACATTCCCAGTAGCAGGGAACAAAATTGCAATTGGCAAGGTTCTTTAATCTCCCTGAACATTTTATTCCCAAGAAACACGTTAGGTGTTGTTTCCTAGCCAATGGATATTGATCAGCTCCAGCCAAAAAGACTGTATTGGAAGACTATCATTTAATGCTTTAAGGCACCTTTAACTGATAACTTTTTTAAAGATACATTCTCAGCAGATTTAATAATATCTGCTACTCAGGTTAGTTCTGGATGTAATTTTCAGGGTGCACTCATGCAAAGCAATGGTTCATTGATAGTTTATTTTTGCCCACTAATTAGCATGCCATCATTCCTGGTAAACAATTAAAAAAATATTGTAAATTAAGAAAATTATTCTGATTGACACAAAGGTAGTCACTTTTGTCATCTCAAGGGAGGGTTTTTCTCTTCATTTGTAATTTTTTTTAGAGTTGAAAATGGGGATGGGGGCCAAATACTTAATTTTATGCTATAGGAAATAAGGTAATGTTAAACTTTTGAAGTTATATACGTGAAAGAGATTTTACAACACAATGGAACATTTCTGTGAGTAATAACGAGCTCTCCCATTGCTTCAGTGCACTTGCTTTTCTTGTCAACCTCTTCACTATACAATGATCAAAAGCATTGTTCAGATTATGGTTATTATGATACATTTTAGTATGGACAACAGTAATCTATACATATACAGTATATATCTCTATACTACTATATATACTTACAGTTGTGTTCAGAATAATAGCAGTCAGACATCACTAACCTGATCAATCACTGTTTTTGGTAGAAATTATAGTTCTACATGGCAAATAATTTACTAGAAGGTGTAGTAGAGTAATAGAAATCCAACAGCCCCAACAGTCATCACATGCATGCTGCTGATTCTGTGTAATTGAATCACTAATTGAAAGGGGCATGTTCAAAATAATAGCAGTGTGGAGTTCTATTAGTGAGGTCATTCATTCTTTGAAAAACTGACAAAACCAAGAAATAGAGAAGAACTGTGGAATGTAGTCCAATCATCCTGGGCTGGAATACCTGTTCACAGGTGCCAGAAGTTGGTTGACTCCATGCAACACAGATGTACAGCAGTTCTCAGAAACAGTGCTTATACAACTAAATATTAATTAAGTGATTCAAAGGAAAGCAAAATCTTCAAACATTTTTCAGTTTATATAGTGAATGTTTGAGTTTGTAAAGAAGAATACAAACACTGCTATTTTTTTGAACAGTCTAATATTCACTTTTCTTCAATTTTTTTAGAGGAACAACACAAATTTGATCTATTTTTCTTCATGTTTTGATTTGGAATAGAATGTGTAGTGTTCCCAATGCATTTGTGTGTATGGAAATAAAAGCTATTAGAAGGATTTTGAGCTTTATTCACTTTTTTCAACACACTGCTATTATTTTGAACACAACTGTACATATAGAGAGAGAGAGAAAGAAAGAGAAATTAGATCCTTTGGTGTCAATTTCACACACCTGGTGGAGATTGAACTGAAGAGGAGGCTTCTCTTGCACATCTTGACCATTACCCCTGGTTGTGGTAACAGGAATGTGAGAACACTGGTGGTATGAGGGACAATGTTGCAGGCAGCACCTGCTGTCGGGTATTGAGGACAGATGCCTGTGGACCACCGGGTAAGAACCAGATATAGAAACATGTTAGCACCTGATCAGCATTTAGAATCATAGCCAAGACACAAGTTGAAGGTCATCAACAGCTGGGCAGCAAGGTGCCAAATCAGAAGGCAGAGACAGCATCAGGACAAAGGCCAAGGTCAGCAACAGCTGGGCATCAAGGTAGAGAAAC